TTCAATTTCATAAGCACCCTTAAAAGCAACAAATTCTTCTATTTGTTCCACATCATAGTAATCATATATACCATTAACATAAGAATCCAAGGTTTCATTATCATTAAATTCACATTGAAAGGGGAGGTGTGGAGCCTCCATCTTAGAGCAACAAGTGCAACCATATCTTAAGCATGTATTCCAAGCATACCAATGCAACATTTTAATTTGATCCCATAAGAGTTTCCCTTTTTGATACAAGCGATAATCCCTAAAGTATTCCCGGTGATCAAAAGTATCTCCCATTATCAAGTTGTACCAGGATTATCAAAAAAGTATTAATGTTTTCCACATAACGAGCATCAAGGGTTTTAGGAGGTTCCCCATCTCCATGAGTAGCAAGTACAACTTTTTTGGTATTTTGTGTTCCATATTCATAACTAAAGATAGAGAACAACTTAGAAAATAAAATAAAATCTACTTAGTGATAAAGCAAACAAGCACACACGAGAATATTCACCTCATGCTATTGCTCCTCGGCAATGGCGCCAGGAAAAGGTCTTGATAACCCACAAGTATAGGGGACCAATTGTTGTTGTTTCGATAAATAAGAGTTTCGAACGCAACTAGGAGCTAAAGGTAGAATTTATATTCTCTTCAAGTTCTATCGACCACCGATACAACTCTACGTTTGCTACCTAGAACAAGTATGAAACTAGAAGTACTTTGTAGGAGTAATGTTAGAACTACTTTGCAAGAATAAAATTAGGAGTACTTTGCAAGATAATAAAAGTTAATTGTTTAGTGGAACGCTTTTTGTAATACAAGAGAAGGATTTGTCTCTAGGCAATCGATAACTAGACCGGTAATCATTATTGCAATTTTATATGAGGGAGAGGCATGAGCTAACATACTTTCCGTACTTGGATCATATGCACTTGTGGTTGGGACTCTAGCAAGCATCCGCAACTAATAAAGATCAGTAAGGTAAAACACAACCATAGCATTAAGTAACAAGTCCTCTTTACTCCCATACGCAACAACCCTCTTACTCGGGTATAAGCTTCCGTCACTCTCGCCACCCACTATAAGCGAATTATGAATGTATTGCAACACCCTACAATGGTAATCCCATACACTTCTGTGACACGGAGGGAACCATAGGAAAACACCAAAATAAAGCATACAACTCAAACCAATCACAATCATCAATCAACCCATAGGACAAAACAACTCTACTCAAACATCATAAGATGGCAACACATCATTGGATAACAATATATAGCGTTAAGCACCATATTTAAGTAGAGATTGCAGTGGGGAGTAGGGGTGTTGCACCGCTGCATAGAGGTGGGGGGGGGGAAGAGTTGGTGATGGCGTCCGACACATGCATTGCCGTGTTACCTATGTTTTTCCCTGTATGTTTATGCTACGTTGATCTACAACTAGTCATGTCGACTCGGGTCCTCTGTCATATGGATGCTAGCGAGATAATCATATACGTGAGCCAAAAGGCACAAACGGTCCCAGCAAGGTAAGGTTGCAGCCGTGGGTTATCGTGCGTGGGGCCGCAAAGTGATATGATGTGTTACCTGCTAGATCTGTGTGACCTAGGATTGGGGTGCTGGCAGCATCACAATTCGTATGTATCACACACTAATATTTAGTGTTTGTAGTTTTCTCTAAGAAGGTTGACCACATATTCAATATCAGTTCGTCGATAAGAACATACATTTTTTCTTTTCCACTCGACGCAATGTTATTTCCCAAAAGTGAATCCATGCTTAAATATTTGTCATACTTTTGAACTTCAAATTGCTCATTGTTGAAGTATTCGGCAGTCTGTACACTGTTGGGGTAAGATTGGACAAACAATGCTAAAATTACAATGTATATTCAGAAGGGTAAGAAGATGGACCATGCACCAGATTAGTGGACAACCATGGATGATCATATAATTCACAAGGGACTCAGAGTAATACATGATAAGACATCCTTAAATTCATCATTCAAGGTAGTAATAGTATCCTAAGACTACATATATGATGACAGGAAAGCATGGTGTTCGTACCAAGTGGAACCAAACTTGTAGGTAAGTATATTTGACACCATAGCAATCTGTAAATAAGAAGCAAAAGCGCAAAGGAAACATAACTGACACAAAGGACCAAGAGTAAGTGGCATAAATTACCCAAAGAAACCGACTGTCCAATAATTCAAATCAAATTATAAAGCAGAGGCTGAACATGGTAGAGACCATGCATCTTTTTATTTTAGACCTTGTAGTCCCATGAATTTCTGAGGCAGTACACAATAATAATTTAGTGTTTGCTTATACAATCACCATGACATATAATTGTTAGCTGAAGTTCTCTCAACAATATCCATTTGTAAAATCAGTAAATTTGTACTGAATTGACAAGGATCAATATGTTGCTCAGCACCCTCTCATATTGATTGTTGTCTACCTATACACATGGCTAATAAAGTACCAAGTTCCAGATTCAACAAACATGTCCCAGAAAGAATAGGGAATGCTCTTGATGGACACGAGGATCAAAAGCATACCGCACAAACGTTTAACTTCTTCAGGAATTGATTGTCGATGGCCGTCTTGAAGGTAGACACGCCCTGCTGCAATGCAATCTTCTCCGTACAAATTGTGGAGCGGGCCCATTGAACACAAAAATAACAACTTGGTGGTCAAGCACGGACACGAACTTCTCCGCCTTGTAAAACCATCACGAATCAACCTACCTCTCATAGAAATCCGACAAATCATGCCCGACCTCGCTCTTCTCCAATGACCTATCCCATGGTCGCAACCAAGGCAGCAACTCTCCCTCGCATCCGCGTCCGAGCACCACCGGGAGATCTCGCGGGTGCCCCTCTGCTCAGAAACCTTTACAACATAAGCATTTTTGTCCCTGGCATGCATCATATGAAGGCTCCATGGCCTTATCCTGGACATGCTTTTTTTCAGCGTGACACGTAATTCATCATCATCTATAGTCTGTACAGAGATTACCATTACCCACATAATAATCCTAGAGCAACAGAAAATACTACCTACTAAGTGTAATTGCATAAAGTTACCCTTAATGCTAAACCTCACATTATTATGTGTTATCGCTAATTATTTTTATCACATCCCTGTGCATCAATAAAAACAAAAGAACATTAGCTAAAAAACAAATAGAAGAACTAAACCTGTATTTGTGAAAGAAAAAAAAAGATGAAACCAATACACAAATTTTTAAGAAATTGCGTTGTTGTGACATTACCTGTTGAGCATGACAAACTCGTTGCATACGTTCTCCTCACTCGACGACCACGTCAGATGATGACCCTCACCATCACGTCTATCTGCAGCAAATCAACATGGTGGCATAGAGGTGAGTGGCAAAAACTTAACTGGAGGGACAAGTATCAACAACTCTAATACAAAACCGCTCAAACTCAACAAACTTTGGGAAAAGGGAGACATCTAATCCCAAATCTTTCACCCTGTATGTGTGCCCCTGGCCGCACTGGACATGCACTCCTGCTCACTGCTGGACAAATGTTCCTGGCATGGTCTTATGGCTAGTCGAAACAACCAACCACCGATGAGCAGAGATCTGGCATGGACACCGTCAGGCCACACCCGAGAGGCGGCGGAAATCAGTTAGTGTCGATGCGTCGATGAGCAGGAGGTTTGTGGAGGAGAGGAGGCCACTCGAGGGCCAGGGCCCTGGTGGCGGAAAGCAGGTAGCATCGATGCGTCAATGGGCAGGAGGGTTGCGGGGGAGAGGAGGCCACTCGAAGGCCAGGGTCCGCCCCGACATGGCCTTGGTCGTCACCATACTCAAGTAGCTCCGGGACGTAAGTAAATGACGGCCGCCGCTGACAGATTCGTCAAGATGCGCACGGCGGTGGTGAAGAAGAGAGGCGGCGAGATCGGCGTCAATGGCTGTTGGCTACTCGGAGCGCGCCGTCGCTATACGTTAGGCAAACTCTTCGCCGACGGCTGGTGGTGCCACACCATCACAAACTCCCACCGGCGCTGAACCGCGACACCGGCACCTGGACCTCGACGGCGCCGAGCGCTTCATTGGAGGATCCGTGGAAGTTGGCTTGTTTTTTTTGGTGGGGTAGGGGAGGAGACAAGAACGTGTGTGTCCGCGCGATCTATATTAACAAAGATGAATGTGGTTGAATCAGTCTTCTACTCGACCGGGGTACATAAACAGCTTTGTTATGGGCCTTAGGTGTCCATGCAAGAGCCCACTTGAAAAACACGGAAATACTTGTCATCAAAATGGATAAAAGATGATGTATTTAGATGTATTTTAGTTTTATATACATCTTTTTTTATTCATTTTGATGACAAGTATTTTCGGACGAAGGGAATACAAAATTATGATGATAAGAAATACTTCTTCTTTTAATAATAGGTATAATTTACACCTCGTCCAAGACGACGTGGTTGAAACTGGAGGAGACCAAAAGCCGACATGCTCAAGTCGAACTAGAGGTCCAACAGCTCAAAGGAAGTGCCGCATTCCCTTGTCAATATTCTTTTTTTTGCGGGGTCCTTTGTCAATATTCTTGAAGAAAAAATGACGCCCACCAAAGAAAATTACAGCAATACTTCCTCTATAAAGAATATAAAGAAATATTAAGAGTATTTAGATCACTAAAATAGTAAACCAAACGCAATTATATTTATTTTATTCTAATTACCCGACCGATATGCCAACCTTTAACCAACCACCACCATCACGCCCTTAGCGGGTCCGCGAGCTCGCTTACCGGATCCAGACAACGCTCGCGTCCAATTTCCCCAATCGCGGCCCCATTCTACCTCCTCCAATCCAAATCGCCGCCTCCCACCACCAATCCGTCCCTCACATGGCTGCGCTCCACTCGGCGGCGGGGCCGCGTAGTCCGTCTGCGTAGCGATCGGAACGTAGTGTTTCGGTGGTGCGCGCCGGGTTGCCTTATCGGAGTTCGTGGGTGTTGACTATCAGGGCGAGCGGATGGACGCCGACGGTCGCCTCCGGCGCGCGCTCGCCGCCTTCGGGGGCGGAGACGTGTGGGACCTCGTCGATGCCGCGCTCGCCGCGGCCGCGCCAGCCGACCTCCGCGCGCGTCGTGACGGGATCGTGGAGCGGCTCTACGCCGGGGCCCGCTGCCGCAATTGCGATGCCCCCGAGAGTCCACCGCAGCCGCCGCGTCAGCCGGCCGAGGCCGCTTCTCCGGCCTGGCAGGAGGAGGAGGAGGAGGAGGAGGAGGTGGCCGACGTGGATGGCCTCGGCCTGGAGGAGGAGACCGACGAGGGCGGCGGCTTGGAGAGCAAGATCCTGGCGATCAAGGATTTCTTGGAGGACCCCGACCAGGTCCTTGAAAAGATCTCGTGTTTACCGGTTTGGAATCAGTACGATTTTGCTCGGGAAAGCTCACTTCTTCTGTTGCAAACTGTACCTTTGTATGGTTTCGTCACAGTCGGAGGAGGAGCTCGTGAGCCTGCTGCAGAACCTGGCAGACATGGACATCACCTACAAGGCTCTCCAGGTGATCTTTACTTTTTCTGTCCTTCCTTTTAAAAGTTTTGTCTGCCTTACGAAGGGAAGGATTAGTTAGCTGGTTGCTTTTGCTTGTGGAAGCAGCTTTTTTCGAGGGTACTTGTGGAAGCAGCTTGACCACTATCAGGAGTGAAACCCCTTGTGTTTCTGGTTGTGCAGGAGACGGACATCGGCCGACATGTGAATGGCCTGCGCAAGCACCCTTCGGGTGACGTCCGGCAGTTAGTGAAGCTGCTCGTCAGGTGAAGAACAACAAGCCAGAGTATATTGCTAAATTTGTGTCATAAAAATGCCAAGGTAGAAGTGCCTTCTAATTGTGTTTTGGTTTTTGTGTATTTTGTGCTATGCGCGTCTGTGAAGGAAATGGAAGGAGATAGTGGACGGCTGGGTGCGGCTCCACAACTCTGGTGGTGACGGTGGAAATTCGATCCTAAGTAAGGCATCGTGCTCAGTTCCACAGTTCTATGTATTTATTTTGTTTTCCAGTGATAATTTCGATTGATAATTCATGGTGGCAGCTGATGGTGACTCTCCTGAGAAGACTCAAGGCAAAAGCTACCAAAATGCCCGGGTAGCCTATTCTTCCACAATCCAAACATGTCGTTCCACACTAATGGAGACTGGTGTTTTGGTTCTTGCTTTGGAATGATGATAATTAAGCTCACGACAAACTTTAGCTTTTCTGTAATGCGGAAACAGATCCTTCCATTTGGTGGGTAGTATTATGCCAAAAATGTTTCTAGCCCATTTTTTCTGCTAGTTTACCAAACAAACCACAACTTTGCTACATGGTAACCACACTTTCCTAGGTCTTAGAAAGGGTGAAGAAATGAGCTAACTATATAACATGAAATTGCTCATTTGATTGACATGTTTTGGTTTAGCATGTCCTTTGTCTACAACTTCTAAGATGGACACCTTTGTTTGCAGGTTTCAGACTTCAAGTATACGCCCAGCCCACCACAGAGGCACAGTGAGTCCCCATCTGTTCTTAGAGTTTATATGTGAAGCTATTTCAAGACGTAATAATGTGCCAACTGAAACTTCGTTTCATTGTTTGGACCCAAGGTGGTTTGAGTTCAGAGCGGTCTAGGAATAACAATGGGTTCGAGTCGACACTGGAGAGGCATAGAGCAAGCCCAGCTCCTACGTATCATACGAAGCAGAACAATGGCAATAACTATTCAACTACTTCGTCATCTGCTCCAGCTGTAAGCCTAACCAGATCATCCTTTCGATAATTTTAATCAGTTCATTCATCGTTGTACAGAGGTCGTGCACTTGTTTTTGTTCAGAATAGTAGTAGTAGCGGAAGAAGTTCTCCCGTCAGCCCCTAATCTCAAGGCCCAGCCCAGCCCAACACATGTTCACACGAGGCATCCTCCATTTGCTTTCTAGATTTGCCACTGCTGGAGCGTGTCAACCAGCGTGGGCTGAAGATGTTGCCATTTGTTAAAACATAAAAATAAAGCTGCACCATCCATTAATCATTCACCTTATCATGCAAAGTAGCCGGGAACAAGAACTTGTTTTGACTTTTAGTGAACCAAATGGCATGATACCAATGAAAGTAGAGGTTTTTCTCCAGTTAAAAAAAGCGAGGGAAGTTTTTTCTCTGCTTATTTCTTGCTAAACTGTACCCACGGTCCTATACACCCAGTTTGATATTCGCAAATATGGTTTGCAGAGGGCGATGAGGGAGCAGAAGGATAATCATTTGGACGAGAAGCTCGATTCAGCCAGAAAGAGGCTTCAAGAAAATTACCAGGAAGCACAAAATGGTATTAATTTCATTGATATACCTACTTGTATTTCCCCTTCAATTTGCCATGAACACAGTGGATGAAATCAATTTCCTTCTCATTGTCTTCAAGTATAGTGGCACCAAGTTTTTGACATGTTCCCCCTTTTGGTATTTCTGCGGCCTTTTTGCAGCGAAAAAACAGAGGACAATGCAAGTGCTGGATATCCACGACATACCCAAGCCGAAAAATAAAAACACCTTCATCCGCAAGCCTGGTGGAGGTGGCCTCCCTGGCCGACATCGGTGACCTGGTGAACATGCAAATTCTTAGCCGCGGCAAGGTTCAAAATGAAAAATAAATTGAGCACGAAAGGTTTATGTTTGTTCTTTTTTTAGTTACACTCTGGTCCGCTGAAATATTGTCCAGCACAACCAAGTCAAGATATAATACTAGTACTACTGATAAAAGGACCAAGGTTATATATTTGAGAATTTGTGCTGTAGCTTGTTTTTTTTAAGAGGTCTCTTGAATGTACCTGGAAGTATTTAATTGAGAATTTGCGTTTGTGGTGACGTTTATCCATTTTACCGTTATAAAGGCGTACTGCCATCCCTGATATTTGTTAGAGATACTATGTTTTACGGTCTTTTTGAGGAGTTGTTATAGAAATTAGAGCAACTCCAACGGGGCGACCCCAAACGGATGGCGCTTTTGTCTGATTTTTGTCCGTTTGGGTCGGCCATCCGTCCTGTTTTAGATTTGGATTTGTAGTGCGCCGACCCATTTCATATTCGCACACAATTTGTGAAAATGGCTCACGGCCATAGATCATGCTAGCGGCCATATCGTTGCCCGAAGCAAATGCCGGTATCATGCCAGCTTCAAAATAACACCACACAGTTCATGTTGGCGCACTCGCCAGCCGCCGGCACATATGCCAGCACACAAAAAGGGGGTGGGACTTGAGTTCGACCACGCGCGGCCTCGTGGTCATGCCGGCATAAAAAAAAGGATGGCGCTCGCCGCCATAGGTCACTCGTCGTCAAACTTGAGCATGTCGGCCTGCATCTTCTCGAACCACGGCCTCTTCCTTGGTGACATGGTGTTGAGATCCACCTTCATGATCTCACCCCGGTCATCATGCTTGCGAGAGCCAGTTCTTTCGCCTTGGTCTTGGTGTGGGCGGCCTCGATCTCTACCATCTTGCCTTGCTTCTCCGCCTCCATCTCAAGCATCTTGGCTTGCTTCTCCGCCTCCATCTCAAGCCTCCTCCTTTGGATCTCCATGAAGGCGTTCATTTGTTCTTTGTATCGCCGACGCTCCTCCTCCCTTTAGTCCTTCTTGCTCATCATGCCCTCCAGGCTAGCGATCAAGGCGTTGGACGCCGCATCCCGCTTGTCCTCCTTCTTGGAGTTGGTCTTCCCCCGCGGTCATGCCTTCTCGCCGTCCCCAACCTCCTCCACGGCTTGCTTCCCCCCACGCGACTTGAGGGTGGCATATTGCGCCTTGAACTTCTCCTCATCTTTGATGACGCTAAAGCAATGGAAGATGTTGAAGCACTTGCCACTGTGTTGGACCTTGAATGCCTCCAAAGCTTGAAATGCCTACAAATGTATTTCATGCAAGCACATTGGAAAAATGGTGTGCAAATGAACACGCAAGCATAAACGGAATGACACAAAAGAGGGCGGCTTGCTAGCATACCATGTCTTGCATGCCGATGCCGCTCATGGGGCGGGTCTTGACGCTCTCAAGAGTGGCACAAAACTTGTTGCACTCTTGTTGGATCACCCTACATAGCTTCGAAATGGACACCCACCCGCGCGTGCTTACTACTTGGTACGATGGAAACTTCTTGTGCTCATGGAACTCACGGTGGACATGAATCCAAAAGGTTGATGCCTTTTGTTCGGCGCCCGTCTTGGGGTCTTGCCCAATGTCTCTCCAACACTCACAAAGAAGCTTGTCCACGGCCGCCGTGTATGCCTTGGTCCGCTTGCTCTTGCGCTTCAGCTTCGCCCCGCCGGCTTGGTTGGCGAGCTCGTCCTCGAACAAAGGCTCCCCTTCGATGTTGCACTCGTTCTGTTCCTCTTGTCCGTAGTCCTTCGGAAACTCGTGGTCGAGTGGAAAGCCGTCCAGGTCCAGGCCGACCTGATCATGCATGAAGGCCGCCTGATCTTGATCAAAGGTGGTCGGCGTGAACGCCCCTCGGCCGTCCTGTCTTTGTGTCTCGTCGGGGTCGTAGCCCGCCTGTTGTAGGGTCAAACCCTAGGTGGGATCTTTTCACACTTGGAGGGGGAAAAGGAGGAAAAACACTCAAGAACACAAGAACAAAAACTCTCAAACAAACCCAAATATCACATCCACTAGAGTAGCATACATGAGATCCACAAGATTACAAGATCAATCCAAGGGGAATAACACTAGGGTAAAGGTCTTCTCACTAGGTGAGGTCTTGCATCCAAAGAGGATCTTCTCCAAGAGGAGGGTTTGATCTCCAAGAGGAGCTTCTCCAAGTGGAGGTCTAGATCTCCTAAAGGAGGAAGATGAGCAAAGCCCTCTTTTGTGTTCTAATATCTTTGCTAACCCTACAAATGAACTAGAAGATGCCCTTATATAGTTTAGGGACGAAATGAGGGAGGAGGGAGGATACAAGGGCAAAGCCCCGAGGAGGCACGCACGCCCACGGTTTCGTCCGGGCACCCGGGGTCATGGGGTCCGGGCACCCGGACCGGTCAGGGCCATCATCAGGTTCGCCCGGGCACCCGGGGGCGAAGGGTCCGGGCACCCGGCCCGTGCAGGGGCTCGGCTGGAGGCGGGCGGCTGGGAGGGGCCAGGCACCCGGGGGTCCCAGGCCCGGGCACCCGGTGGGGCGGCCAACGGTTGGGAGCAGAGGGCCCGGGCACCCAGAGGCTAAGGGGCCGGGCACCCGGAGCGAGCCGGGGCAGCTCCCAGGTGGTGAGGCCGGGCACCCGGGGTTCGGGAGGCCGGGCACCCGGGGTGTCTAGAGGTTTCTCCTTCGTGCTTCCTTCTTCGTTCTTCTTGTCCTCTCCTTCCTCCTCTTGCTCCATGGGTGCTTGGGTCTTCCTCCTTGCTTCCTCACGACGATCTCCAATGTACCTAAGAACGCATAGTGTCTCTCTTTGAGGTAGAATCCCATTCTCAAGTGAAACCGAATGAAACTCGAAGAGGAGAGAATCAACCTCGTTCTCGATGACGCATACACGTGCTCTTGTCATTAGTCCACTCGGTGCTTGCGGTGGTGATGGAGTGTCGGTGCGAGTAGTTGAGGGATGCTCCGCATCATCTTCCCCCCCTTGGGAGAGATCCGTCCACGGATCGTGCTCTTCATCACCATGGTACTTGGCCAAGTCTTTGACGTTGAAGATGTCGCTAACGTTGTACTTGTCGTGTGGGATGTCAACCTTGTAGGCGTTGTCGTTGTAGCGTGCGATCACCTTGAATGGTCCGTCGGCTCTTGGGAGTAGCTTGGACTTGTGCTCCTTGGGGAAGCGGTCTTTGCGGAGATGTATCCATACTTGATCACCCGATTGGAACACCATCGGAGACTTGTTGATGTTGAGCTTGGCGGTGAGGCGTTGCACTTGGCGCTCGATCATGGAACGTGTTTCTTCATGCATCTTCTTGAGGTAGGCGGCTCTTGCACTTGCGTCCATGTTTGTTCGTTCTTGAAGCGGTAGAGGAAGGATGTCCAATGGCGACAAAGGGTTGAAACCGTAGACGACCTCGAAGGGGGACTTGTCGGTTGTAGAGTGTCTTGCGCGGTTGTAGGCGTACTCGGCGATGGGTAGGCACTCCTCCCACTCCTTGATGTTCTTCTTGATCAACACGCGTAGAAGAGTTGCAAGCGTCCGGTTGGTGACTTCCGTTTGGCCATCGGTTTGAGGATGATAGGCCGTGGAGAATAGTAGCTTGATCCCGAGCTTGGCGCATAGCGTCTTCCAAAAGTATCTTAAGAACTTGACGTCTCGATCCAACACAATTGTCTTTGGCACGCCGTGCAACCTCAAGATTTCCCTACAAAAGAGATTGGCAACATGTGAAGCGTCCTCTATCTTATTGCATGGAATAAAATGAGCCATTTTAGAGAATCGGTCCACAATAACAAAAACGGAATCCTTGCCATTTTGAGTCCTAGGTAATCCAAGCACAAAATCCATGCTAATGTCTTCCCAAGGTTGATGTGGAATAGGTAAAGGCATATGTAAACCATGGGATTGAGAGTGTGACTTAGCTTTGCAACATGTAGAGCACCGGTTGGTGAAGCGGGTGACATCGTGAAACATCTTGGGCCAATAATAGTTCTTGGAGAGCGTGGCGAAAGTCTTGTCGCGTCCAAAGTGTCCCATGAGTCCGCCTCCATGAGCCTCTTGCAAAAGGAGCAAACGAAGAGAAGACTCGGGAATGCATAGTTTGTTAGCTCTCATAAGATAACCATCTTTGATATAATATCTTTCCCAAGAAGTATACGTCACATACTTAGCATAAGGAGTAGCAAAAGTCACATCACCCTCATACAAATCTTTGATATGATCAAATCCAACTACATTCAATTCAAGTTGAGTAAGTAACATGCATTTGCGGGAAAGGGCATCCACCACCACGTTTTCTTTGCCCTTAATGTACTTTATCACATAGGGAAAAGATTCGATGAATTCACTCCATTTAGCATGCCGTTTATTCAACTTGGTTTGACCTTTAAGATATTTAAGTGTTTCATGATCGGTATGTATGACAAACTCATGCGGTCTAAGGTAATGCTCCCACACATGTAACACACGCACTAAAGCAAACAATTATTTGTCATAGATGGGATAGTTAAGTTGAGCACCGAAAAGTTTTTCACTAAAATATGCAATAGCTCGTTTTTCTTGCATCAAAACTCCACCAATTCCGGTACCACTTGCATCGCAATGAACCTCAAAAGTTTTGTCAAAGTTTGGTAAAGCAAGAATCGGAGCATGGGTAAGCAAAGACTTGAGCTCATCAAAAGCGGTTGATTGCGAAGGTCCCCAAACAGAAGGAGCGTTCTTCTTACTCAAAGCATGCAAAGGAGCGGCAATAGTGCTAAAATCTTTCACAAAGCGATGATAAAAACCCGCGAGGCCAAGAAAACTGCGCACTTGTTGGAAATTGGTGGGTTGGGGCCAAGTTTTAATTGCTTCAATTTTAGAGTCATCAACATGTACACCCTTGGAAGAACACAACGAATCCCAAGAAAACAAGCTTGTCAACACCAAACATGCACTTTTTCATGTTGGCATAAAGACGTTCCTTGCGAAGAG